CAAAATTTCTTAGAGGGTGTCTCACGTGACTGGTCCACCCCGACCCAGTCCGTTGCTAAATTATGCATGCTTGGTCCGAAGTCTGGTCCGACGAACTCATTTGGCAGACCAGCCGTATGGTAGAAGCGGACTCGTCTGCTAGATAGGTTGCTACAGTGTCTTGCGAATCTAAGCAGTGACGACGAAAAGCATACTTGCTGGAATCAAGCTACCCTTTTTTATGTACCCGTTAGAAGCGTTCCAAATAATGTTGCACGAAAATCACAAATGGTTTGAAAGTTCTCAAAACAATGTTTGCAAAATCACTGTCTACTGACCAGAGGCAGACTGTTCCGCCGACTAAATCGAAGGCACCCGTTCTAGCGCCATTCAATCCCGAATTTTGGCCCAAACGGACGGTGGTTCACGAGGTGGTTCTCGAGCAGGTCCGTCGGATTTGCGTAGAACCCACGTGAACCTGCGCTTTCGAGGTTCTTCCTTACACTACCCCCCCCACCCTCCAAGAAGCCCCCTCCGCTACGCAAGTGCGTCTATATTGCGGAAATTACGGCTTCTCAAGTACACTTGCAGGGCAGGGTGGTTCTTTATGTTGGCCAATGACACCCAGCTATCTTCGGTTGGGGTGCGGACCTTTCAGCGAACGAGAAACTCAATCCTTCAAACTTCTGCGGGGTGGCAAATCCAATAGTTCAGGATCTTTCGGGGTCGACGATCGGCTCCGATGCATGACGTAACATGGATGGCGGATGACGGCGTGGTAGTTGGCTTGTGGTGGTGATGTAGGGTCGAAGTAAGCTGATGTGGAATGATGGGCTGATATACCAGTCTGTCGGTAACAGTAGATAAACGGTAATTGGGGTGATCATGTGGTTGATTTAGCCAAGCCCCGAACTGCTCCCAAAGGTTTTTCCAGAAGTTGCTCGTAAACTTCGTATCGCGGTCGTTAATTATCGCGGCTGGTATCCCGTGCAGTCGAATGACGGACGCGATGAACAGGCAAGCGCTGTCCTCGGTCGAGATCGATTTACTGCACGCATCGAAGTGGTCCATTTTCGTCAATCGGAAAAAAAAAAACCATAGTTGCGTCGTTACCCCCAGGGCTCTAAGGTAACCCCGTGACGAAACCTATGATTACTTGCTGCCAGGTGTGCTCGGGTGGTGGGATCGGCTTCAACTGACCCGCCTTTTTCTTGTGCGAGCTCTTCATCACCAGACACGTGGGGCATGGTCCCACGCGGTGCTATACGTCAGTCAACAGCACCGGCTAGTAATAATATCGTTGCAGTTGATGTCGCATTTTCTCTGCCACGTAGTGACCCGAGGTAACCGTATCGTGTGCCTTCTGTAGTCATAATTCACGTAGGAGTGAATACGCTGGTACCCAAATGTAGTTGGTGCCGGCCTTTAAGTTATAAGAGTACATTCCGGGCTCTGGTGAAATTTCCACTACTTTTAAGAGTTTAGAACTCCACTGCAAGCTTAAACTTAGCAACACTTAACTTCCCTTACAACCCTCCAAGTGTGACACCTTGTCACCTCCCAACCAGAGGTCTAGAAAAATATAATGGAGTAGTTATGCTTAGCTCGCTTGCAGGGTGAGGAATCTGGTCAAGCAGCGTTTCGGCAATACCAAGTGAGCTTTCTACTCTTGTCAATGCATAGTAGTAGAAATCAAGAAGAGCAGAATGGTATTAATTTTGCAAGCAAGTAAAAGCACGCAAAATATATTTACTCCTAGGCACAAAAAAGGAAAGCACACAAAATGGTTATTTAACTATCGTCCAAGTCTTCGCTTTGCTGTCATAAAAAAACGGTTATAAAACTGCTCTTGAAAATAGCTGTCTTTGAGCTGCACTCCTGCCAAACTCTCCTGCTGACTCCCGTCGTGAACGTTCATGACTTCTCGAGTGTGATCATGAACACTCGTGTGGGAATACCGTTTTTCGTAAGGCCTTGCAGTTACATGGCAGTTTGTCACTGTTTTTCATAATCCCTTACAGTTTCAAAACGTTTTTTTTCACTATTTTATCCTGTATAAAAAATGTCACACTACGCGCGCGACGTTTCGGGCGAAGTTGCCTGTACCCGAATCAACACCGAACACCCCTTGACCACGACTGATATTTCGATCGTGCGGCACTGTGCACTGATGTGCAGTAATGCGCGTGGCCAGGGCGATCATTTGCCCCGTCATGTTGCGATCATGTGCCCCACCACGCTCACAACAATGCGAGGGCATACGCGCGGGCCTGAGGGCCCACGCGCAGAATCTTGCACCCCGCGTGGTCCAGATTCTTGCGTGAGGCTGACCTTGACCTTGTGAAAATATACGAGGGGTCAAACTTCACCCCTCGTGAACACTCCCGACTCCCCATGGGTCGCGCTTGATGGGGACTCATGAAATATTCACGAAAATCTCATAACGCTCAGTCGCCATGAACACTAAATGAGCACGCATAATTTTCAGGATGCGTCGTCGTGAGCATTCATGAGTGAATGTGAACTCGCCACGAATGAGAATGAAGGAAGTTGGTGTGGATCTTATCGTTAAGGAGTATGAGACAGTCTACTGTTGTACCCTCCTTATTCGGCCGGGTGTGGTCGATTGCGTGAACCGGCACAATCATTCGGTGAGGGTCGGTTGGGTTGGGCGAGCGGCGTGACCTGTCAATAGAGGGCCCGTCGCTACTGACTCCTAGAATTTCCCTACTTCTTGGCCAGTCTCTGCTACTCCATTCCCTCCCTTTCCCTTAGCATTTTCCGGACATTCTCTCTTACAGTGCCCCGGACTGTTGCGTGCGGAGCAGCGCCCTTTGAACGATGTGGCAGCGACATTCGCGGCAATGGCGCGTATCGTGGTGTGCTCGTTCGTTCCGCGAGCTCGATGTCCCCAGCTACTTCTGCTACTGTTTTCGTAGGACCCCAATCTCGGCCGGCAGAGGAAATCGATTTTTGTCCGCCATAGCGACAACTTCATTTCGGTCGATGTGTTTCACTTCGTGCATGCATCCTACCTGCTCGCACAACGCCAGAAACACACTGGTGTAATCCTGAATGGAACCGTGTTGGCGCTAAGTGCGAGCCTCTGTCGCGCCGCGATCGAAGCCGCAATTGGCTCAAATCTCGCGCAGGCCTGCGCACCAAGCGTCCCACGTGCGAAACTAGGCTACCTCCATAAAATACAACAACGCCCAGGGTCCGGTTTGTCCTTTCCATGACGGTAGAGTCTTGTAGTCCGTCGGTTTTATAACGATGACGCGCCACCAGTCCATGGCGGGTCCTCGCAGCAGTGACACGGAGTACCGAATCTGCGGAGACATGGTGTGCGTCGAGGAAGACGTTCATCGTGAAAAAACATTCCTGGAGTGTCGGACCACCCTGTTGGCTCGGATCAAAGCAAGGCAGACACTGCGGCTTGAAAGGCATATGTGACGGCAGTGTCGAGTCGTTGTTCAACGTCGAAATCATGACACATGGCTGACTCCTGGCCGCATTTTGTCGCTCCGGGGTGTGTGTCGTGCCGTGGTCGTCGCCTTCGTCAACATGGGCGACACCATCACTAGCCACGCTCGAGGGTTGTTCCAAACTCTAGTGTTGCGATGTCTTTGGTGCCTCTTGTGCTTCCGTGCCTTGTGTTTTTTATTATGCTTCTTGCGCCCCACGACGTCAATCTGCAGTGATATACATTCTTGTCACCACTGTAACTACTTCGGATCTTTTGTGCAGCTCCTGCACCAGTGCATTCAGGCGCTCCTACATGAGGCTCATGAGGCAATATGCTCGGCCATGGTGAAGGGCGGTGGCTTGTCTTTGCTCTAGGTACTGCACGCGTTTATGCGAGAACGCGAGGACATCGGCTCCTAGGTGCTAAGGGGCGTAGGCATGGGCATCTGACCCGACCCGGCCCGACCCGTCCCATCTAGGGCGACCCGTTACCTTAACGGGTCGGGACGAGTCGGGTTGGTGGGTTGGGTTTGGCTGTGTTTTGATGACCCGACCCGCCCTGTAGGTACGGGTATTTGTGACCCGTAACCAGGTCGGTTACACCACGGGTCGGGTCGGGTCGGGTCAAAATATGCAACAGAGCTGCAGGGTATGGGGGTTAAGGTAAAATAGCTACATTGTAAATTTCATGTTACAAATATAACATTACTGTTCATATGTATTTTAAGTTAGGGAACATTGCACATATTAGATGGCGTCCAAGCATGCTAACCGTTCTTTTGCTAAAAACAAATGTATATGGCGTAGGTGATTATAGCAACAACCCTGTTTGTGTATGTCAAGCATGGAAATAAATAAAATCTAGTGTATCACAAGAAGGTTTATGGCAAATAGTCGTAAATCTATAACAACCAGGCCCCCGTAGCAAACATTACTCAAAACCCATCGTCCTCAGCCTCATACCACAAACTCCACATGCGCACGCGCAGCCCCTGCCATGTTCAATGTTTGAGCCATCCATGAGTTGATAGCCATGAGGGCGCTCACACGAGGGGCGCTCAAGCGGTGACGCTGCCATGTCGCTACGTACCTGCCCTGGTTAAATGCGCGCTCGCTCGCTACAGAGGTTGCTAGCACTGCCAAATAGTCCCGAGCCATTTCCCTCAAACCCTCTAAATCCTTCCTATCACGCCAGTACACCAGCGGGCAACCCTTCTGCCTGCCCTTAGCCACGTAAATGTCAACTTCATCACTTTTCCGCCCCCCCCTCGCTGCCTCAAATGCATCTATCTGTGCAAAAAGCGCATTCTCGAAGCTGGACCCCCCCTGCCAGCGGAACGTGATGTCCCTGCGGCCTCATCAGGAAGACCAGTGCTGACAGTAACCTCCCCCATGCCACTCATAACCTCACCACCATCTCCCCGGCTGCGCACTCTCTCCTGATACGCGACCAACCGATCGCGCACCAGGCGTATCATCGTCGGCTCATCCACGCCCTGCACACTCCTAGCGCATCCCCCCACCTCCGTCACGTGCGCTGCATTGAGCGCCTCCCACTAGGGCAGCTGGAAGAAGATGGTCTTGTATCGGGGGTGAAGGAAGGTGGCAATCGCCAACTCCTCCTTCGACCCATACGGGTACTTCTTCAGCTTGCCGAGAGCTTTGGTGATGAGGGCCTGTGTGTGGGGTGAGACGCCTGGCTTGCGGAAGGTGGTCTCCAGCTTGTCCAGCAGCTGGTTGTACAGCGGCACCACCGCTGCAGCTGTCGGGTACAAGGAAGCCTCAGCTACCTTGGTGAGTGAATGGAAGGGCTTAAGAGAGTTCTTCAGCTCGACGAGCGCATCCCAGTGGACGTCACTGATACGAATCTTGTCGAGCTGCTCGCGTAGCCTACGGGGGCGGGGGGGGGAGGGAGGGGGGGGGGGGCGCTGGTATATAGGACAACAACAAGGGTGGTACAGAGGGTTCACAAACCTAAAATACAGTGGTGATGCATTTACTCGTTACTGGATGGGTCCCACATAGTCACAACTCTTCCAGCCCCTGGTCAGCCACCTAAACTCACCATTCCATATAGTCACAACTCTTGGCGTTGCACACCAGCCCCCCACACTCATCATCACCCGACATATCCACACTATTGGAGCCTATCACTCACGTCTGTCCAGCTGAAGAACAATGTCAGGGCCTGCTGCAGCTCCAAGGCGCGGCAGATCATCTTTTAAGTGGAGCCCCAACGTGTAGGCGAGTCGGAGATTAGATGTTGCACCTTCACGTTGTCTCTGCCTGCCAACCTGCGCTGCAGACTGGCAAAACTCTCGGACCGCTGGACCGACCATCCGATGTACGAACACTCATCCCGTAGGCGTTTCAACGCCTCCCGCATATCGTCCAACATCAGTGCATCATGCAATGCAATGTTCATGACATGTGCAAGGCAACTGTACACGGAAGGGGCATAAGGAAAAATGAGTTAGCTACGTGTGATGTCACATCGTGATAAATTTCAAACTACGGCATGCCACCAAAGTCCCACTTGTGAATCGCGACATGACATGACAGGACGTACCGCACGTGATGCGCAATGTCGCGTAGTGGATTAGATGTCCAGACATCAGGCCCCTCTGCTGTGACCCCCGACAGAAGGCGTATTGCCTTGTTGTTGTTCTCCGCATTGTCCGTTGTCACAGCAAACACCACATCCCGCAGGTCAGCCTCGGTCAAAATGCGCTCGAGGGTTTGTGCTATGAGAGACCATGTGTGCGAACTCTCCAACACCACGAAATCTTGAATCCCCTATCGCTGCCTGAAGTCACAAGTGATCCAGTGGACGGTCACGCACATGAAAGCTGTATGGTTCTCACTGGTCCAGATGTCCAAGCTAAGGGTCACCCTCCCCGCGAGATCGTCGCCAATGATCTCCTGCCTTAGCTCCTCTTGAGCCACCTCATTGAATGCTTGCATGTCCCTTGCCAATGGTAACGCGACCCCAGCAAATCCGCGGCCGATGGGTTCAGCAAGGTGACAAACCGACAGAACTGGTGAGGTCGGGCATGGACATTTAAGCACATACACACACAGAGCATCGTCTTAACCGTATACCCAGGGCATTGGAACCTATGAAGGACTTCACAAAGATGTTCAGACAAGAATGAAGAGTTTTGGTGCAGGAAGAGAGGGTATAGTAGTTGTTGATTGACTCACAGATGCTCGGTCCACCAGACGAAACGGAAGATCAGCATCAGCAAACAACTCCACGAGAGCACTGCATAGCTCGTCCAGCGACACCCTTGGACTCATGTACGCGTGCATGCCGGCACCACTACGACCCCCACTAGCCACCCCCACCGCGCCACTGCCCGCGTCCGCAGCTGCTGGGATGTTCGGCCAGACAGCCGCGTGCTCCGATGCACCACAGTGCGTGTCTGGCACTGGTAGCCTGTCGCCCGACATGCCATACCCGCCCCAAGGAAACTCTAGGTTCTTTGGCTTCGCCGGGTCCAGGAACCGCCGCACCCAAATCTGCACATGTGGGTAGTACGCGTGCTTGACATGCTTCCACCCAGTGCCCGTGCTACCCCCATCCCATCCCATTATGTCGCCACACACCCGACACGGACGACAACAATCCTCAAGCTCACCAAACTTTCCCACTAATAAAAGAGGGTAGTGCTTCCCTGCCAAACCCTCAACCACCGAATCCTTGGGCAAATCTTCCTTTCTTGGACGTTTTGACCTACGCCCACGACTCCCCTGTGTCCCTCCACCCCGACTGATGCCACCAGAACGCAACGGCGTGGACCCGACACCATCGGTGCGTTGAGAAGGTGCATTCGAGGGCCCTGGACCGGGCGCAGCCTTGGCCGCTGTCTTAACACCTCTGCCATCGCGCCCTACCCTTGCAGCACTATGCGCAACCCTCCCAACCGCCCCCCCACCTCGTCCATCACCTGGGGGGCCGACAGCATGCCCCCCATTGCGTCCCCCTGCATTGCCTACGGGCTGCGCACGCGCAGTAGACCGACCCAGCCCACGACCAACCCGTCCTCCCCCACAACCCCCTCGACCCCTTCCTCCCCGTCCAGATGCCCCTCCACGCCCCCCCGTATTGCGACCAGCACCCTCCTCCTGCACTTGCACCTCCTCCTCCACCTCGTCGTCCCCTCTCGCCCCCTCTGCAGAGTCCTTTGCCGCCGCCGCCTCGACCTCCGCTGCAGTAGGCCTATACTTATAGTCATCGCCTGCTGCATCACGCGAAAGCCCACCACTCTGCCACTCTGATGGAGGATTGCTAGGCCAGTAGGAGTCCTCTTCCTCACACCCTGCATCCCCGCCATCGGTCCCAACAGGGTGCTGTAGAGCACTGGCCAGCATAAAGCTGGTTCGTGCTGCAGGTGTTGGAAGTCAATTAAAACTAGCAACTGGCAGAGCTCGTCCTTCTTCATTCCCCTCTCCTCCTCCCTAGGTATACTCCCTGTCCATATTCCATTGTAAGTGGCGCCTTGGCGTTGCTGAAGGTGGCGCCTTGGCGCTGCTGAAGGTGGGGCCTTGGCGGTGCTGAAAATGGCGCCTTGGCGCTACTGAAAGTGGCGTTCGCGATAATGGAGGTGGGGACCGCGATTCTGGCTGGTGGCGTTCGCGCTACTGCAAGGCCGCTCTCGCGCTATTGTGGGGATGCGATCCCGCCAATGCGTGGCCGCGATCGCGCTGCACTAAAGCGGCGCCGCGATCGCACGTATGCGAGGCTGCGATAGCGCGTATGCGGGGCCGAGATCGCGCGTAGGCGGGGCCGCGATCGCGCGTATGCGGGGCTGCGATCGCGCTGCGCAAATGCGGGGCCGCAATCCCGCCAATGCGTGGCCGCGAGCGCGCTGCTGCGCTCCTGGTCATGCGACGCTGCGAAATGGCGGGAGCGCCTATGCCTAACCTGACTCTGAAGTATAAAATAGTGTTAACATTGAAGTGAAGACTCTAAGAGGCTTGGTAGGTGCAATGCAGATTTTCAAGCTTAATCTAGGATAGAGACTGGATCTGAATGTCGAGGGGAAAACAAAACATCAAAACCAACAGATGTTCTCCCCCTCTACATATCGTACCCTAATCAGATCACGGGTCGCGTAACCCTATCATTTGACTGGGTACGCGATCCGGACGGGACGGGTCAACCCGACCCGGCGGGTCGCTAATACCCGTTTAGTAATCACCTAGACGGGTCACGGGTCGACCCGACCCGGCCGGGTATACCCGACCCGACCCGGACGGGTCGACATGCTCAGCATGACTGACCCGACCCGCCCAAAAGGGCGGGTCGGGTCGGGTAACCCGATCCGTCCTGGCCAAATGCCCATGAGGGGCGTGAGTCTCTTCGAGCGAAAATCAAAAGTTGGTTTACTACTGTTTGTGGAAATGCGCGGTCCAAAAGAAAGTGGCTCTGATACCAAGTGTTACGGGTGCAATGGAACGAAGTAGCGAGCATTGCACTAGGGTATCAAAACGAATACAGAAGTATGAGCGAATACTTACATGCGAAATATGCAAACGGTAACGCGCTGCATGCGAGCTAGCTAGTGAGATGCAGGCATCGAGGTTCGGGCTAGTCCCGAAGCGTAGGCCGACACGGCCGGGCCAGCGGTGCATGGTTTGGCGAACAGCGGCCCTGTTTGACAGGCCTAAGATGGCCGCAGGAAGGTGGGTTTGCAATCTTTGGCTCGATAAGACGGTTAGCCCGGAAATCGTTTCCAGACCCACCACTTACCGTCCGAACCTGACCAATGGTGGTGGTTGCAGAGAGGCCATTTCTTTGATGGAATTACGAGAAACGAAGGTGGGTACACACCTTTCACTCTAGGCAAATACGGACTCGATAGCCGTCCCATTTGCAGACCCCCTTTTTTGGGGCATCGCTTTGGACAAGGAATGGAAGCAATGTGGAAGGGTTCACTCCAGTTTGCCCGTTGAAAAAAGAAGAAATTTTAAAGAGTGTCAACGAACTAGATTGGATAGGTGTTTTGTCCTCTATTATTAGGCTACAACTTTTGCCTACTTTTTTAAAGCCAGGAGTTGCGACAGTGGTGTTTCATGTACACCCTCTTTCTTGGCGAAATTGTGCCTGGCGGTTCTTATTGGAAGCGCTAACGAATGGTGTAGTGCTTGGAAGCGCTAACGTGTGGAAAATTCTGAATTATTTTAACATTACGACGTAAAGTTCACGGGTTAAGTTACCAATCGCGGGGTGGTAAAGAACTCTGACAACTGGAAATTAAATACGGGTATGGAGAAGCAGGGTTTGGTTTTCGGGCCGTAATTTGGCCACCTCCCTGCTATTTTTCGGCCCCATTTTGATATTTCTCTTTCCGGAACAACTGCTGCTCCTGTACGCGGTGTTGAAAGACGAGGTAAGGAATGCCGCCGAAAAAAAACTTACATTATTGTGCAAACTACAATGCTAGGGTTCGCTAGTCGCTGTCTGAAAAGAATGCGAGAACTTCTGTCAGCTTGTCTGGAGGAGACGATCAAGGTGGTGGCGCGGCCATGCTGCATGCCTCCTTGGTCTAACAGAAACACCAACCAGTCCAATTGGCTCACCTTCCGTCGTGCCACGACATTATCCGTGAATGTGTACAGAGTTCGTGTGAGCCTCGCGGAGCTGTAGTGGTGGAAATTGTAGAGGTTGACACTTTCGAGCCGCACCGTCGCCTCGCACCATGTCGCCCGCTGCACTCCCCTCGCTTCCCCGCACCGCAGACCCGTCCGCGCTCTCCACTGACCTCCAAGCAATGCTCCGCTGGGCCGCAGCGCGCGGCATCACCGACAGCTACACTGGCGGGAGCGAGCGGGGTAATTTTTCCGCCGATGCCGGGGAACGCGGAGAGGGTAACGAAGCGCGCGCATGTTTGGGCTCCACCCTGCGCGTGGCGCACTTCAGCGACGGCGGAGGGTACGCGCGCTGTCTGTCGCCGCTGCCCCGCCTTGCAGCGCGCCCATGCGCGGAGAGCGGGTGCTGGGCGGGCGGTAGTGGGGAGCGGGTGAGGGGGCGGTGGAATGACGGGTGTGGACGCACTCTGTAGCAAGCGTTGACGCGGCGTTGAGTGGCGTGGTCCGCCGCCCCGCGTCCTGCGCCCGCTTTTACCACCCCGTTTCCACCCCCTTTGCCCCCCCATTCCGCGCGCCCCGTGGTGGCAGGCGCGGGCTGGCAGCAGTGCGAGCGATAGAGCGGGGGGAGGTGGTGCTGCACCTGCCACGGCACGCCATGCTCTCATGCGCCGACGTCAGGGCATGCCCTGCCATGGCTTCGCTGCTGCCTGCATTCGCACACCTCTCGTCCCACCAGGTGACACCTATCCCATAGTATTCTCCCCCTGCCTCTCCCCCTGTCCCTTAACTGGCAACACGTGTTGATGCACGTGCCGCCCTGTTCCCCTGTGTGTGCAGCTGCTCGTGTGCTATGTGCTGCTGCAGGCGTCCCTGGGAGCGCAGTCGCCCTGGCATGCGTACCTGCGCTGCCTGCCGCGCTGCTACACGCTGCTCTCGCGCTTCACCCCACAGCACATGGCCATGCTGCAGGTGGGGCGCACCACATGGCACCCGAAGCCTCAACCCCTCAGCCATGGCCGCCTTGCCGCGGCCTCGCTCATGTGCCCACCTCCACATGCACCACACACACGCCAATATTCCCACAGCCTTATCCACACACACACACACGCACACACACACACACACACACACACACACACACACGCACACACACACACACAGACACACACACACACACACACACACACACACACACGCACACACACACACACACACACACACACACAAACACACACACACACACACACACAGACACACACACACACACACAAACACACACACACACACACACACACACGCACACACACACACTCCCCCCCCCACACACACCCACCCACCCATAACATGTCATCCGTCAGCACAGGCCTTTTCTCCTCGAACCCCGTCAAACTTCAGTCCTTGGACGCACCCTTCACTTCCAACCTGCCTTCTCTTCCTCTCGTCTGCATCTCCCTGCCCCCCGCCTCCCACCACCTCTTCTTCCCTGGCACGCCCTCGTCCCTGTGTCGCCCACGCCCAGGTGCCAGAGGCGGTGGCGGAGGCGCACGCAGCAGTGGCGGCGGTGAGGGGCGAGTGGCGGGAGGCGAGGCCGCTGCTGCGAGCCATGGGCGTGGCGGGCAAGTGGCTCTCGTGGGGCGCATGGTCGTGGGGGCACTGCACGGTGGGTGGGGCATGGGGCTTCATCAGGGGCCGTGCCGTGGCGGTGTGTGTGTGGCGGTCGTGGGGGCGCTGCACATGCAGTGCTCAGCTTGTGCACAGCGTGTCAGCCTGTGCACAGCGTGCGCTGTGCTGCTGTGAAGCACATGCCATGCCATGCGTGTGTGCCGCTCAAGCCACTGGCCCGCCCGCCCAGGTGCTGCAGCACTGTGTGCAGCTCTTCACTGCACCACCTCCTCTCGCCCTCCCTCTGCCTCTGCTCCGCCCTGCCATGTGCCATGCCCGCCCCCACGTGCAGGTGTCATCGCGCACGCTGTATGTGCCATGGGACGAGGCAGGTGCGCTGTGCCCGGTGGCGGACCTCCTCAACTATGAACCGCTCTCCCCCACTGCTCCTGCTGCCCACCCCACACCACCTGCGCCGCCCCCTTCCCCGTCACCATCGCCGGCTCAACCTTGTTGCGCTCACATGCCTGGGGACGTGCATGGCAGTGCAGCACACACAGATGGCAGCGCAACACAGGCTCATTCCTGCACAGCACACACAGACGCCAGTGCAGCACATGCAGATGGCAGCACGGCAGGTGAAGCAGTTTCAGTTGGAGCATCCGAAGGCGAGTGCATGCGGGATGCAGCAGCACTGAGAGGTTGCGAGCTGTCCTGCTCCCGTGACTGCACTGCTGTCACGCCGACTGTGGCTTTGGGCTGTCAGCACGCCACCCCTGCAGCGCCCACCTGTGCTTGCAGCCCTGCCACACTGCACGCCTCTCCCCGTCCTGCCACACTCACCTCTGACCCTGTAATGGACGGTGGTGATCGTGTGGCAGACGGCTGTGATCGCATGACAGATGGTGGGTACAACGAGGAGGCCCAGGCGTACCACATATTCGCACGCAGGCGATTTGAGGCCGGCGAGCAGGTGAGTGGTTGGCATGGCAGTGCACGTGCGGTTGTGCTGCTCTGCCCGTCCCCATGGCACTGTTGCATTGCATCACGCACCCTGTGCTGCTGTCGCTCTGCACAAGCACCCCCCTCCCCCTCTTTTCCTCCTCCTTCTTCGCATCTGGTCTCCCACCACCCCCCCTTCCCCCCTGTGTCCGCCCACCCCTGGCAGGTGGTGATCTGCTACGGCTGCTACAGCAACCTGCACCTGCTGCTGCACTACGGCTTCCTGCTGCCCGCCAACCCACACGACTGCATCCCCATGCACCCCCCCTGCGACCCCCACCAACTCGGCATCCCTCTCCCTGCACCTCCCCCCTGCTCCTCCGCCGCGCACACCACGACGCCCCCCCTGTGTCTGCAAGCGGACGGCACGCCGTCCTTCCTGCTCATGGCGCTGCTGCGCGTGTGGACCACGCCCTACCGCCTGCGCAGGCGGGTGCGCCACGTGGCGCTCTCTGGTTCGCCGGTGTCGGAGGAGGGTGAGGTGGCGGTGCAGCGGTGGGTGGTGGGCGAGTGTGAGCGGCTGCTGGCGGCGCTGCCCACCACGGTGCAGCAGGACGAGGTGCTGCTCTCACACCTCACGGCGGGAGGGGGGGGCGCGGCGGAGGGGGTGCACGGGACCATGGAGGGCGCACGGGTGGGAGGGGCGGGGTGTGCGAGCGGTGCTGGTGGTGACATGGATGGGGTGGGGTCGGAGGATAAAGAGGACGGTTGTGGAGCGCATGAGGGGGGCAGGACGGAAGGGGAGGAGGAGGAGCAGCAGAAGGCGGTGCTTGCTGTGCTGTGGCGGGTGGGGTACAAGAGGTTGCTGCAGCGAGGCATGGCAGTGGCTCAGCGCGCCCTCCATGCTGCCTCGCAGCGCAGCTAGTGCCCGTGTGGCCTGCCTGCCGTGCTCCCAGGTGCCTTGCAACAAGCGCCTGCTGTGAAGCAATGCTGTCTTCACTTGCATGCGATGCGACTGCCATCACATGCTTTCAAAAGTAGTTGCTACTGCAGGCGGTGGGATAGAGTTTGGGCAGGAGGGCAGTGGGGTTGGGTTGGGCAGGGTGGTGCAGGCGGAAACACATCATAGTGCCATATCTTAGGAGGCTTGTGTGCACATGTGTGGGGTCAATATTGCCATGTCATGTGCACCCATCAACTTGTTTGCGGAGTACCTCATAAATCTCAGAATCTAAGAAGCTAAAGAAGTTAGGTAGGAGTATGATGTTACTAGGAAGCATAGGGTACAAGTAGTGAGGGTTGAGAGAAATCGTGTACCCTCTAAGAACTACCTCACTGCAGCCTATCTAAATGATATAAACATTTGACACACCCCCATAGGCTAAGTGAGGTGAGGGGCATCAAAACAAAACAAAAGGAACAAATGGTCACAAGACTAGTCGAGAAAAGCAACAATGCAAAGCTCAGGGTGGATCACGAAGTCACCACACAATCTGAGCACAAGCAGGTAGCCACAAGGCCAGTCAAGTGTTCACATAAATATATACCAGTACATGCATATACCGTAAACACAGTAAGAAACAAGAATCTAGACTATAATACAGTATTACCGCGGAATAAGGCACCTGCGCTTATAATAAAACAATGTTTTTTTAGGGGGGTGCGCTTATAATTGAGTAAAAATTATGAGCGCACGCGCTTATAAAATAACAAAATATAATTTCAATCCACCAAATTGTACATCTCATCCTTGCAATTTCAATCGAATTGAAATTGTAGAGTCACAGGTCAGAATCGCGCGCAGGCGATTCTTTGCCAGCGCACAAAGGCAAAATACTGTATCGCCCCGGATAGTAGCACCGCCTGATTATAGGCACCGGCGCTTCTATCTGGAGCCATGCGCTTATGGCCGGTCCTCAATTATAAGCGCACCCCCTATCAACAGGACTAGGCAAGAATGATGCATTGAAAGAACAGTTGGGTACAAGTAGCTAACCCTAGTTGGGTTTGTACCCTGTATTGGCTACCCCACTACAGCCTACCCACATATAAATAACACATTACAACTTAACACACCCCCATAGGCAAAGTGGGGGAGAGCAAAGGGTCACAAGACCAGTCCAGCAAAGCAAAACAAGCCCAGGGTGGATCACAACGTCACCACACTCCGAGCACAAGCAAAGGCCACAAGGCCAGTTCACATGCAGTGCTAGATATAGAACAAGACAAACAGCAAGACATATATAAAGTACAGTACAAAGAAAGTCAAGCAGTAAGCAAATGAGGAAACGTGGACACAAGGCCTAAAGAAGTACAGTGCCGCTGATGATCACTAGGCGGGAGTGCCTTGGTGAAGATATCAGCAGTGTTGGCCTTCGAGTCCACGTACACAAGCCGAAGCTGACCGCGCTGCTGAAGCTCTCGAGCAAGAAAGTAGCGAAGAGCAATGTGCTTCGTCCTGTGCTCCAGTCTGTGCTCCTGACACAAGGCAAGGGCCGCCTTGTTGTCACCGTACAGAACTGGAGGAGAACTAGGCCGCTCTCCCAAGTCAGTCAGCAGGTAGGTGAGCCAGCGTAACTCCTGTGCAGCCATGGCCGTGGCGTAGATCTCAGCCTCACAACTAGAGCCGAGAACAGAAGAAGAGCGGGTGGACCGCCACGAGACAGAACCAGAGCCAAGGCTGAAGGTGTAACCCTGTGACGACCGCTGCGTAGCCAGGTCGTCCACCCAAGAAGCGTCCGAGTGACCAGTGAGGACAACTCTGTCGCGTCCTCCAAGCACCAGCCCCATGCCTGATGTACTGCACAAGTAACGCAGCACCCTCTTAGCAGCCTCCCAGTGCTCTCGCCTGTGTCTCCCAGGCGCAACGTAACGAGCAAGGATGCTAAGAGGGTACGCGAGGTCAGGTCGCGTGCAAGTCATCAGGTACATGAGGCAGCCTACAAGCTCTGGGTACGGGCCACTCGGCTCTACGGACTCGTCCGAAGGTGGAGCTGAGAGCGAGTGGCTGGTAGCCAGAGGTGTGGCCTGTGGTGAGGAGAACTGGAAGCCGAAGCGCTGAAGGACCTGCTGCACCATGTGTGACTGAGTCAGGGTGATGGTGCGGCGTGCTCTGTCCCGGGTGATCTGCAAGCCAAGGTAGCTACGCAGCTCACCCAGGTCAGTGCAGGTGTGTCTCTTCTGCAGCTCCGACTTCACACGAGAGAGTGCCTCAGTGTCAGCAGTAGCAAAGACCAGGTCGTCGACGTACACGAGAATGTAGAACGGCGGCAGCGACGTGTCTGTGCGCAGAAACAGCGACGGGTCAGCAGTAGACGGCGCGAACCCAAGAGCCGCAAGTGTAGTCCTCAGTGTGTCGTGCCACTCACGCGGCGCCTGGCGGAGACCGTAGACTGGCCGGCGGAGGCTCCACTGGGTACCAGGAGGAAACGACCCAGTAAAGCCAGGTGGGCGGCGCAGCCAGATCTCCTCGTGCAGGCTGCCCTGCAGGAACGCTGTGCTGAAGTCAAGAGAGTGAAGCTCGTAGTCACGCTGAGCAGCAACGTGCAGCAGAACCCGAAGAGTGGTCATCTTCGGGGTGGGGGAGAAGGTCTGGAAGAAGTCAACCCCCTGACGCTGACTGAAGCCTCGTGCAACGTAACGAGCCTTGAAGACAGGTGGAGAACCTGGCGGCCGCTTCACCCTGAAAATCCACATGCCATCGACGATGTTCGCCCCAGGAGGGGGAACCTCGTCGACGTAGGTGCCTGTAGACTTCCAGGATGCCATCTCTGCGTCCATGGCTGTCTGCCACTGAGAGGAGTAGGGACCCGAGATCGCCTCTGCGTAAGTGCGCGGAGTCGGGATGTCTGGTGCATCCGGATCTCCCTCAGGGGCAAGCAACTAGGCCATGAGATGAGGTACAGCAGCCGCAAGAGAGTCAAAGTCCTCCTGCCTGTCCTCAAGGACGTCCGTGCCAAGAGCACACTCACCCCCGACGGACGGAGGACAGACAGACTCAGACTCAGCAACAAGACTGGTGGCGTAGTCTAGGCGACAGGCAGCAGCAAAGTCGACAAGCTCAGCGACCAGGGCAGACGCAGCAGCAGACTCAAACGACGGGTCAGTGACAACAGTGGCGAGAAGACGCGTAACAGTAGGGTGGGCAGCACGAACACTGTCAGACTCAGGGTCGGGAACGTCAGGAAGAGAAGACGCAGGAGGAGACGGTAGGGGGACACGCTGTGGACCAGTGGAAGGACGAAGTGCCATAATGTGCGTGCCAGGAACAGGAGGAGGACGCGGACGCGCGACACGACGGCCAGTGGGACCAGTGCGAGCAGTGCGAGCAGCGCGAACAGGCGAGGCAGGACGAGACGCAGGCTCACGACGCTCCGTAAGCGAGTCCGGCTGTGCAGTGTAAGGCACAGGAGCAGGGAGGGGGGAGCCAGGCTGGAGGGGAAGGCCAGTGGAAGACGGGAGGGAAAGAACCTGGCGAAGCACCGTGTCAGGCGGCGGCAAAGCCGACGGCGACGGAGGAGCGAAGAACAGGCGCGACGGCGGAGCTCCGCCAGCACCTCCAGCACCCGCAGCACCAAAGAAGCTCCAGGACCAGCACCCTCCGCCGCAGCACCCCCCGAGTCGGCGACGTCAGCACCAGAGGCCCCAGCAGCGTCAGACCTCCCCTCGCCAGCACCTCCAGAACCAGCAGGACCACCGTGTCCAGAACCGTCAGCTCCAGTGTCGTCAGCTCCAGCAGCTCCAGTACCGCCAGGAAGAGCACCCCCAGAGCTGCCAGCTCCAACTCCGCTAGCACCGCCAGCTCCAGAGTCCCCAGCTCCAGCAGCTCCAGTCTCAGTGCTCCCAGAACAACCAGTCCCGGCAGCTCCAGTACCCCCAGTACGAGCACCTCCAGGACGAGCAGCTCCAGCACCCCCAACTCCAGCCGAGCCACGAGGACGGCGAAAGCGCCGGACGTACCAGTCACGAAGCTGCTGCTGTGTGAGAGACTGCTCAGCACCCCGAACCGGAGCACCCCCAGACGCAGCAACCCCAGGCTCCGTAGGCTCAGTAGCAGCACCCCCAGGCTCAGTACCCTCAGGCGCAGCACCCCCAGGCTCAGCACCCCCAGTCGCAGCACCCCCAGGCTCAGCACCCCCAGGCGCCGAACTCTCAGGCACAGTACCCTCAGCTCCAGCACCCGCAGTCCCAGCACCCGCAGCCCCAGCACTCCCAGGCCCAGCACCCGCAGGCTCAGCACCCCCAGGCTCAGCACTCCCAGCAGCACCACCTGCAGCAGCACCTGAGTCACCTGTGACCTCGACAGGCTCAGCGACGGGAGGAGGGTCTACCTGAGAGACACCTGAAGGAGCAGGACCCTGAGGGGGAAGGGGGTCTACCGGAGGGGGACCAGGAGCGAGGAAAAGCGGCGGGGGAGGGAGAGGGGCAGTGCGGTAGGGGAAGAGACGGTAAAAAGGGACCGACTCGTCAAAGGTGACGTCCTGAGAGGCGAAGACCCGGCGCGAGGTGGGGTGGTAAAACTGCCAGCCAGGCGCGTCAGGGACAAAGCCAAGGAAGACACAGGGAAGCGTGCGGGAGGAGAGCTTGTCCGCGGACGTATCACGGACAAGGGCACGAGCACCCCACACCCGGAAGCGCGACGCATCGCCAACCTCCCCCGTCCAACGCAGTGTGGGCGAGGTCTCCGGCAAGGAGACACGGGGCCAGAGGTTGAGCTGATGCGCGGCGTACCGGACAGCAAACGGCCACAGAAAATGGGGAGCCGCCGCGTGGACCAAGGAGGTACGAGCGACCTCCATGACCAGGCCAATGCGGCGCTCAGCAACCCCATTCTGCTGTGGGGAGTCCGGAAGCGTGAAGGTCTGCTCGATGCCCTCCGCCTGACAGAAGGTCCTCAAGAGGTCGGAGGAAAACTCACCACCTCTG